TCAGAGTCGGCAGAAGAGCTATACTGATAAGAGACGAAGACCCTTGGAGTTTCAGGTTGGAGACTCAGTTATGCTGAAGGTGTCGCCTATGAAAGGCGTACAGCGATTCGGACGACGGGGGAAGCTTGCGCCGAGATACATTGGACCATTTCAGATTCTGGAGCATGTTGGAGTTGTGTCATACAGACTAGATCTTCCGGCATCGATGTCTAGTATACACAATGTGTTTTATGTTTCTACGCTCAAGAAACACTTGCATGATGAGGAGCAGCAGCGAGTATTGGATACACCAGAGATTGAGCTTCAGGAGGATTTAACTACTGTCGAGATTCCGGTTCGTATTCTTGCCAGAGAGGACAAGAGACTTAGAAACAAGGTAATTCCCTTGGTGAAAGTTCAGTGGAACCGAGGAGGCATTGAGGAGATTTCTTAGGAGCGCGAAGAGGATTTGCATCGCGACTACCCACACCTGTTTGAACAGGTAAATTAAAAAAAAAATTAATGATGTGTATCTTGCATGATGTTCATATCTTTGATTATATTTACATTTAACACTAGAATGGAAATATTCGCGCTTAATTCTTAATCTTTCAGAACACATGGTATATATATGGGGGGTTCCTTGTTTGGATTTTTCACCTGATGTTCTAGTTCCACTAGATTAGGATTTGAGCGGGAATATTACTATTTTAGATCGTTAAGTATAAACGTCTCTATATGTTTATCTGGAAGTTTATGTTGCGAGATGCGTATGGTTTCCGAATTTTGAGGACGAAATTCTTCTAACGGGAGGAGAATGTAGAACCCCGTAAATTTTTATATGAATATATGTGAATTATTAGTAAATAAATAATTCTTTTATGATAAATAGCTTGAGGTTATTGATATACATGATAATAAGTTATTTGAGATGATATGAGAGTTTGGGGGTAGAGTTTTGTGCGTTGGTTTTGCAAATTAGCAAAACATGCACAAAAACTGAATTTTTCCAGATCAGTCAACACATCAGTTGACTGACTGTATCGGTCGACACATCAGTCGACTGATAAGCTGATTTCCAGTTTTTACAGGTTTCGGGTCTGTTTTGTTTTGGTTCGGGTTTGGGTCGGGTTTAGCTGTTCATATGTATTCTTTTTCACCCGAATTCACCCCTCTCACCTTCAGATCTGAGAGAACCCTAGCCCCCTCTCCTCTATCACAAACCCTAGCCTTGTTCTTGGTGATTTGGGGAAGAACTTAGGGGATTTTTGTCGAAATCTTCACATTGCAGCAAAGGGGATTCTCTCTCTCTCAAACCCAGGAGTTGTTCATCACCCAGAGGCGAGTAATATCTCGCCCAACTCTGTCCCTTTTGTTTTACACAAATTTATTGAGTTTAATGAGTTTTGATTTAGCCAAAAACGTATTTTTAGTACAAAGAATGAATCTTTATGGTATATGAGGTGGGGGTATTGAGCATCTCAGTTTATAAAAGGACCAAAAATGTTTTATTAAAAAGATCTAGATCTGAAATGTGTGTATAAGAGATTTAACATGAGTTTTATTTTTAACATGAGATTTAACATGAGTTTTGTTTTAAAAATGTTTTAAAACATAAATACACATGTCTAGGGTTTTTGTTTATATATTCACATATGGGATTTTTGTTTCAGTTTAGTTCATACATGTTAATATCAGTATTTTCATGCTTGGGATTGATTGGGATGAGTTTAGATCGAATTTTGTGTAAATAGCAACCTGTGCAGAGTTTCTGCAGTCTATCGGTCGACTGATCAGTCGACTGACGGGCAAATTTTTAGTCATCAGTCGACTAATCAGTCGACTAACGGGCTGATTTTGTTTTCTTAGCTTCTCAGTCGACTGGTCAGTCGACTGGTGAGCTGAGGTTGTGCTGCCTGAGCCTTATCGGTCGACATATGAGTCGACTGACGTCATCAGTCGACACATCAGTCGACTAATGAGCTGTTTTACAGATTCTTGATCTGTTTGAGTTGTTTTACGGGGTCGCCTCGATAACCTGACCCTAGTCTACCATGTTAATGATTTATCTGTACATGTAGGATGACTTTTGACATAAGTTTAGACATGTACACCGAGATGCGGGTGAGTTTAGATAATGTATATCTGTCTGCATATACTTTTCACAGTTACACAGTCCCCGTGTTGGACTATAATCCATAGAAGTCCTCGTGTTGGACTATAATCCATTTCGGTCCTCGTGTTGGATATTTGCCACTTATTCCATGTGTTTGAAAACCACAACATCTAGTCCCTGCATCGGACATATTTCTTAACCCTATATATGATTTTCTCACAGGAGTATATGACATGACACTTATGTAAATTATAACATGGCATACATGTAAATAATAACCTGATGCTCATGTAAGCTATGACATGGCACTGTATCTATGCTCTGAGATTAGTTGCATTTCTTTTATTATTATTTCTTGTACTAGAACTTCGGGATTTGTGTTTAGGGATTTACAAATTTGAGATATAAGGTATATACATGAGGGTTTCCTTGTTTGGATTATTTCGCTCGACGTACCTATGCTCGTGTTGTAAATTTCTAAATACTAAAATCCTCTTTAGTAAGATCAATGATTTTAGATCTATTATGTATTAACTGTATTTTCTTATACAACGAGCCCTGTTCCCTTGGGGTTGGTTGTGATGTTACTCGCTAGCGCTTTGACGCTCGTTATCCCTCCCCCTTTCAGGTAACGAGCCAGGAGCCCGGAGAGTCGCAGGTTGATGGCGACACACTTTAGTGTTCAGCTGTCTATTTTAGCTATGTTTTATTTTGGAGCTCCTCCCTATCACTTCATCAGTTATTTCTTGCACTATCTTTTACTTGCTTTTGTACCTACACCTATTGTTGACTCTGCTAGATAGATGTTAATTGTGATGGTGAAACATGTTATTGCACGGTGAGGTGCAAGGCATGTTTGACATTCTTGGTTTTACCTTGGACTGCAGCCTTGTGTGAACCCAGGGGCGTCACAAACACGCTTCCCCCACCCCCCCACCCAAAAAAAAAGAAGAAAACTGGGGTGCATTCGGTTCGGATATAGCTTGTATATGATGCTTATCATATCCTTATCCACTCACCCATCTCGGATACAGATATAGATACAAATATACATCGGTAAGAAAAATTTATAACCATATCCGCTAAAATCGAATATGGCTACGGATATACATGTGGATATATAAGAGGATATGTATGCAAATGCAAAACAGATATGAGAAAACTAGATAGTATTGAGAAAAACATAGTTCATGTGATACAAAAGAGTTCGTTAATATGTCCATTATAACTGAAAAGTTAAGATTAGACATCTTGATCATCAAAATTAACCACAAATCCATAATCTAAGAATCGAAACTATCGTAAGAGTATGACTAATATGTATTCGGATATTTCGGATACGGATACAGATATTTCACTACAAAACCATATCTGTAACCATATCCTATCGGTTATAGATTTGAGTAACCATATTCGTATCCTAACGGATACGATTACGGATATTTTCTCGGATACGGATACAGTTTAGCACCTCTACCACACACACAAATAAGAAAGTTAGAAAATGGGTAAATTGTGCAAAGTAAACACCAGAATGTTTTTCTTTTCTCAACAAAACCCCAAAAACAAGGAGAAGAGAAAAATGAGCTCCCAAGAAAACAAGGAAGATCACCAGCCCACTTTCTTGGGGCTTTTTGTGAAAAGAATTAAAACCCTTTTTTTCCCTTGGAAAAGTTTTGAGAATTTAATGAGAATATCATATAGTCTAGGGGGTTTCTTAAAATTTGGAGAGGTGACAAATTAGGGGTTGGTTGGTTGGCAGGAAATGATTTTACAACAAGGTTATTGTAAGTGTTGCAACTATATTTCTATCTCAATGTCTAGTGTGCAACAAGGATATTATAGATGGTATTAGATTTACATTTTGTAGGAAAATAACTCATAGCATTTATTGCGCAACAAATATTACAAGTTCTTGCATTAACTAAAAAACCTAAAAACTACCGCCACATCATCAAATTAGTGAAAGTAAACTAAAAAATATAGATTTTTTTACACGTGAAGAGAAATAAACACGTGATTTACAAAGAAAATGTAATTCCTACAACAAAATATGTAAATTTTATCGCTAACCAAACTTTAGATTTTTATTTGGAAATGCATCTATCATAATAAAAGTTCAAAAGGGCTATTCATTTCCATGCATTGAAAAATAGGATCCGTAAGTTTAAAATCATAGATTTTCCATCAAATACATTGTTTGCTTGGTTTTGTTCATACTATGGATTTGGGGTTGAAGTAAGATAGATACATCAAATGTGATTTTTTAAAAATTATACTGATTTCACTCGGATTTATGATTTTAGTCGCATATCCTCAATAAAATTCATATGCAACCAAACAAAATTTGATAGGATCAGTACTTTGTGCATCAATGCGTATAGATAGTTGTCCCTTTAATATATTCTACAAATATCCATGTCCTTTTTCTATTTTTTTAAAGAACAACTCTCACTAGCTTAAAACCACAGCATGTTTATTTATTTATTTTTCGCTGCTAATCAAGGCTTATAGATAATAGTAAACAAATATTAGACATAAAATAAATTCTCAATTTAGCATGAATCCCGAGGATACTCTTATGCTATTATTAGACACAAAATATAAAGTTCTAAAAAAAACTTTATGGATCCTACGTTTATTTATGTAATCTTGTGATATAATAACAGCACACCTCCAATTAACAATTTATGTCTAATTAACATTTTTCGTTTAATTTATGAAAAAGAAACCAACAATGCTCTCAAGGTAATTACTTTGCTTCAATTGAAAGACAACCCCCTCGTGGGTGAATGAGGGCAGAATTGGAAGTTCGGTAAAATTTAAACTCTCATTCCAAGGCGAGCATGAGAGCCAAGGAGCCCATAAAATAGTACGAGAGAGAGAGAGAGAGAGAGAGAGAGAGAGAGAGTCACGCTTCTCGCTGCGCGCCCTTCTCTTTCGCTGCAATCAACAAAACGAAGGAAAAGAAAGAAAAAAAAGACCTTTTTTAAGTTTTTTCCTTTTCTTTTTTCCTTTTTCCTTTTTCTCCTCCTCTTGATCTCTTTCCTCGGAAAAAAAATGGCAATATAAAGGATTTATTAAATTTCATATTGAGATTGTGAAGGGCTTAAGGAAGAAGAAATTTACGGAGGCTGCCCTCGCTTCACCTCTTCTGGCGTCTTTAAGCCGAAGGAGAGGGAAGCGAGAGGAGATCAATATCTTCTAATTTCTCTTTTTACAAGGTATTTTTTGTCATAATTTATCATCATCATCATCATCATTATTCAATTTCCCCTGCATTTCCCCCCTCTATTTTCATGTTATTACTCCAAACTAGGGTTTCTTTATTATAAATTAGATCAGTTGTGACATGTTTATCTTCATGATACTAGTGTTATTTCTTCTGTTAATGTGTTATGATATATAAATTAGGTTTACTGCAGAAATCATAGAAATTGATATAAGATGAGCACAACGTCGTATGTCCGGCACACGAGCATTGTGTTAGTTTGTAAATATGAATCCGGATGTGATGTTAGAGAAAGGCCTGATGTCGTCAGTTATGGTTAATATGCCAAGTTGCAAACGTTTGAAACTAATGTCAGAGAGAGGGAATGCCTTTCTACTAGTATGTATGCCACTTTTTAGTCTTATAGTTATTATTAGTTCTCCTCGCTATCAGTATTTTTTGCAGTTTCTTTTCATTTATACCTTTTATCTAACTTTCAGGGAACGTAATCACTGAAGAGATACATGGCCTCACTTGGAGATAGTTGTTTGGCAGCGCAGGAATTAACAATTCTATCTGCATTTGCATCTTTACTGCATTTGCTATACTGCGACTTCAGCCAGTTAATGACAGAGTATATTTTCCCAAATGGTACCTTAAAGGGATAAGAAATAGCCCAGGACGTTCCGGGAATGTTGTAGCCAAGTTTGTTAACTTGAACTTCAGAACGTACTTAAAATTTTTGAACTGGATGCCAGCAGCATTGGCAATGCCAGAACCTGAGTTAGTTGATCATGCAGGCCTTGATTCTGCCATGTTTGTTCGCATCTATCTGCTCGGGTGAGTTCTGCTTTAAAATTCTTTATCGGTATCAATACACATTGCATCTCTGGCGTTCCTTGGAAAGTTTGAGAGGCCATGACAAATTGATCTTTCAGAATAAAAGTGGCATGAAATATTTCTTTGCCTCACATATAGTAACCAATCTAAATGTTGTAGTTTTTGTTGGTATTGCCATATGTCAGAAAGATTTTGAGGGAATCGTTGACCTCTGGTTCTCACCTAATGGAATTAAGCCTGCATCCGTTTTCAATTTTATTCCATGCCAGATAATGAACTTGTACACTTGCAAATTATTTCAGTTACGTCGATCTGAAAATTTTCTACCATGTTTATGTGTTTTGAGTAGGAAAGTGTGTGGTTCATTTTGCTGCCTGCTATCTGCCATCAAATGGATTTTATAATTGAACTTCCTTTATAGCTTAGCAAGCATTAATGTAACTAGAAAAAGGTTCCCCTCCGGTTTCGATTTACATTTATATCAACTGATTATTAGGTATTACAAATTTACACGTGAAAGTCTGATGATTTACACAATTTTTTTTATTCTGTGCAGCTTAAAAATATTTGTGCCCCTAACTGTCCTTGCTTTTGTCGTCTTGGTGCCTGTTAATTGGACTGATGGAACTCTGGAGCATAGTAATGATTTAACATTTAGTGACATTGACAAGCTTTCTATATCTAATATTGCATCTGGATCAAAAAGGTTTGAGCATATGCCCTTATTCATACTTCTATTGGCGAAAACGATTCATGGCAATTGAAAGCTATGATGGCTTTTGTCTGCATAATTGTTAACTGTATGTATGTGATAGTTGAGTCTCTTGGTGATTTGCACATGGAAATAAGCCTGATTATAGGTTATCAGATAATGGTTACGTTTTACACTTATTGCATACAGTACATTTTATTTGTTTTTATGGTGAAAACATTTATCTCACTTAGCAATGAGTATTAGAGGAAGACCTAAATGCACATGGATGGAGATTGTCAAAGAGGACAAGATAGTTTTTAATTTAACTGAGATGACTCTTAAAGAAGCTTGATGTGGAAAATTATATTGAACAGGCTATCAATCAATTTGTGATAAAGCCTTTCTTCTTCTCTTTGTTATTTCTCTTATCCAAAAAGGGTTTTCACTTGTATGCACCAAATATTTGGTATCTTTAAATTTCATCTAAAATTTTATATTTGCCAATTTACCCCCTACTTTGTGGTTTGACCTTGAATTATACCTCACTATTACTATGCACACGGATGTATATAATTCCTGTACTTACTCCTTATTCCTTTCTCCATTCTGTACCTCTGCTTTACCTTTCTCCTTATATGAAAGATCCAGACCAATCGGGTTCACTCGTGCAAATTCTTCCTCGAAAGACTCCCTCTTTCACCCCTCTCTAGGGGAACAGGATGAGACTCAAACCTGGTTCTGGTCAGATCTTCCAAAAGCAGAGGGGAGAGAGGGAGATAGAGAGGGATGGAGAGAGCTCATGATGTTTTCAGGAGAAGGAAATCAAGCTTTTTAAAGGGGAAATAATAGAAAGAAGGATCGGTGCCCTCATTCGGTTAGATTTCTAGTAACAGTTAAGTGGAGAGATATATTTTAGGGTGGTTGCAATACCATACATATACTAGTATACTACGTTACTGTGAGGTATATTTATTTTAACCCTGAAAACCAATGATGAATAGGATCATATTTTAAGAGGAAGATGGTAGATGTCACAGGGATGACATTCATGCTCCATGCTACCTAGCTCTTTCACATAACTATAAAAGTAAAGCACTCCAGTCTAAAATCTTGACGATACTCATTAGAGAGACCTTAATCCCATGGAACGCCAAATATATAGTGACCATAGCAACGAGACATGGTCCACTTCTAATACCCAAAAGTCATGTTAGCTGGACAACTTCTTGAAATATCTATGTAAATATTCTAATTATCATATATTTGGTACCAAGCACAAATTTTGTGATTGGTAGTGAGGTGTCCTATTCCCATTCACTCATTCCAATTCCCAACCACTTCCCAACCCATGTGAATATGGGCCCCGATTTCAATGAGTGGAGGAGAATATGACACCTCACTACCAAGCATAAAAACTTGTGTTTGGTACTAAGCATACTCATTTCTCTCTTTCTCTCTCTCTTAGAGAGAGAATAAACAAGAGCTTGTTTTGACCATTATACATCAGAATCTTTCTAGTGACACATGTAACATTATGATTGTAACTACTGTGATTTTATAATGTTTTCTATTTCATCACAAGAACTATATAGTAATTATCATTTGGATGCCAAATACCTTCATAGTTTACACTTTACAACATAAGTGATGGGAACTGCTGGAATAAGAGCTCTGATTTTAGATGCAATTGCATTATGGTTCCCAGAATTCTAATTATTCCATTTGTCTTTCTATATCTAGTTATGTACAGTCAATCGACATTTTCTAATGCAATGTTTCCATTGTTACATTCAGGTTTTGGGCTCACTTAGTAATGGCATATGTCTTTACATTTTGGACATTCTATGTGTTACATAAAGAATATAAGATTATAGCAACTAGAAGGTTACATTATCTTGCATCTGCAACCCGTCGTCCAGATCAATTTACAGTAAGTAATCTTCTGTACATCAGTGCTTATTCAATTTTGAATTTTTTTGAGGTTATATAACTTCCAAATTCTAAGAGTGATTGTACTGGGATCTTTCTAATTAACTGAACTGTTATGATCAACACGGTTACATGTAATTTTGAACATTTCTTGCTTTTATTAAGTGTTCATGAAACAACAAATTTAAATTCCAATTTCAAGTGATAGTGGAACTTTAACTAAACTATTACGATTGACTTGGTTACCTATAATTTTAAACATCTTCTTGCTCTTATTAAGTTTAATGAAAAAGAGAGCGTACATTCATATAAAGATTCCTCTCCACTTGGTCGTTCTTTTTAAAATTTGTCTTATTTTAGAAATACTCCTTAGTTAAATGTCAATCAAGTTTGTGATGGTTAGTAGAAGAAATTACTTCTCTTGACTTTCTTACAATGATCAAGGACACCTTATTAGAATCGAGGGTACAATCAAGGGTACAATCAAGTATTTCTAAGAGGCTCAATCAAGACGTGGAAATATCAAATTTATGCAAAGAAATTAGAGATTCTGAGGTTTTCCAATTTTTCTTAATTTTAAGTTATTGTTGCGTAACTGAAATTGGAGAAGAATAAGCACTTTATATAAACATCTATACTTCATATAAAAGAGGATTGGGGTGCTAAAACTTTTAATTGCCTTTTTTACCCCTCTAATTTAATTATTTTATTTACTTAATTAATTTATCTCAAAGTCTCATTCTCTGAGTCTTAAATTAAATTCAATTAAATTAATTAAAAATCATCATAATAAATTAGTTTCTTACGCTCTTAAATATTCCATATTTAATTAGTTTATTAGGCTCTTAAAGATTCCATAGCTTATTTAATTAAATTCATATATTATGGATCCAAGTAACTAACGACTCTTTCATTTCCCTCTATATAACCTCTTTTTCATCTACAGGTCATCCTTTCTCCTCAACCCACCACATCACCTACTAAGCCCAATTCATACATCAACACAATGGTTTCTGAAATATGTTATATGGAAAGTTGTCAAATGGTTTATAGTGTATGTAGCTTGTGTATGTATGTGCACGTGCATACATTGGATAATATTTGTGTATGTATGTGCACGTGTATGTAGTTTTTGATTTGTGTTTTGTCTCTTGAATCCTTGAAAAAGAGAAGAGTAATAGATTATAGGAATGTTATTATTTGAAAGTCTTGATATTTAAGAATATGTATAAATTTGATTTGGGAACCAAAGGTTGTTTTCAGTGTGTACCTTTTTTCTATGGATTGGGTAGGATTTTTATTGATCTTTTAATACTTAGAAAGAATGTATGATCTTATTTTTGGAGTTTATGCAAAGCTATTTAAAGATCCCCCTTTGCACAATGTTGTAAAGAGCATTTTGTGTTATTTATCATAAGTTGTGCTTTTTCGTTTGAACATATGTCATAAGTTCTGCTTTCTTATTTTTAGATATATTCATGGTTTAATTCTTAACTAATTACTAGGTTCATATGCACTTTCAGTTTAGATGTGCTTCTCCAATGCTTTTAATGTTTCTTGTCCTTTTGTTTTTCGTACCTCTATTAAGCATCTTTTATGTTCTTTTGTTAATAATTATGTTGAATCATAAAACTTTGTTTGTCTTCGTTTTTATTAATCACCAATAAGCTCTTTGTTCCTATCAACTTTAGGCTATAAAAGATTAACTAATAACATATATTGGCTATCTATCCTCTATTCATTGAGTAAATCATAATACACAAATATATACATGATATATTTGATTGAATTGCATAAAAAATTTGATTTCTTATATGAAATCCAGATTAATTTGTCTCTTGATTGCGATTCTTTAATTTGGATTAAAAAATTGACTTATACAATTCCCGTGAACTGAGCTATTTAAACAATATCTTTATATCGATTGCTATTCCATTTTGCTATTATAGTTTTTGTAATTTTGTTATTAATAACAATTTTTGTTATTCCAACAAGATACTAGACATTTAATATTTATTTGTTATCTTGGTGGCCTTTGTAACTTTCGTGCGTGATATATTGAGAATAACTGTACCATAAGTCCATATTTAAGAATCAATAATATAGGATATATTATTAACTAATAATTTCTTAAACCAAGTATGCCACGTGCAACGCACGCGTGGCATACTAGTTTGTTAGTAAATGTGTCATGTGATTTGGGATGCAGTTGTATGATGGAAGCAAAATGGCCTAAGTCCTTAACCCAAATGCAACCCAGCCTGTCATGGACACAAAAGCGAATATTACCAAATCAATATTGAGCCAGGAAGATAATCGGTTTTTATAATAATACTGGCTACTGAGAAATTCAAGGAAAAAAAACTAGTATTCTTGTAGGAGTATGGCAAAAATCATTGTAGTTAAGAGTAAGAATAATGCTAGGATAGATGAGTTCCAGCACATTCCTCAGTTCTACATTACGAATAGTATCAGAGTTGAGATTAGTTTGAAGAGGAGAAAAAGTGGGCGGATCTAGGTGGCTGCATGGAATCAATTGTTAAGTCAGGGAACAAAATGCCAAAGTCTTAGGTAACCTTTTGGGAAAGACTCCATGAGACTTACTGGGACGAGAATTGTAGTAAGATGGATGACCTGGAGAAATCCTCAACCATATTTCAAATTCTGTACCCACAAGCCACAATTCAACCTGAACTAGATAGGCAACTCCATTGGCATGACTCTTGGTGGGATTATCATTGGACTTATAACACTAAGCTAGAAACTAAGTTTATTGTGATTGACAGACATGTTGATAGTAATTCTGAAATATCTGAAGGGTAGTATTTTATTCATGTCACTCAAGGAAGAAACAACCTGATGCAACAAAAACTCAGCTATGCAGTCATTGCTGATAGCAAAGAACATTTCTTGTTTTCTGAGAACATGTGCTCAAGAATTCAGTCTGAGGCAGATCGTGAAAAGCACATGGTTGGTTAGACATATCGGTTTCTTCTTGACTGTATACACTAGTTGGAGAAATTGTATGACTTTTCTTTCTTAAGGTAAAGGCGTTAGTCTGGCATAATTGGAAGACCAACCCCAGGCCTCTTACAGGATTGTGAGAAGCTTTTATGTCATGACATGGTGTGGCATTAAGAGAAATGATTGGACTGGTGAAGTTATCATAAACCTTAGAAGAGCACATGTAATGTTTTCCAAAAAAATTGAATTACAACTCATATCTGTGTGTTGATGTGAGGAGGGGGCTCGAGCAAACTAGAGAAGAGATCAACGAAAGTCGAGAAATATTCAAGCATCATTCTCTGAATTTGTGATGTTCACAATGATTGTGTAATATTTTCTCCATTGACGTGTAATATAGCCAGAGAATGTCCGATTTCCTCAATTTTATGGAGGCACATAGAAAAAATCTATTCACATAATTGATTGAGCAATTTGTTTTGAACTGGGGTTGATGCAGCGCAACAGTAAAATTCAAAATGCTGAATGAAAGTACTAATCATAGACATGACAAGGTCCATCATTTCATGTAGTTTACTTTGTCAGAAATTTGGCACTGAATCATAGGCAGTTGTCATTGGATGTTTTGTTGTGGGCTGCCGCATAAATGAACATTGAATCATACACATTGGTGGTTTTCTTGGGGTTGCTGAATCATAGTTTACTTAAGTCCATTATCAGCCTCTCAATCTTTAATATTAAGTTATTAGGGTTCATATAGTGTTTCAATGTTCATTTATGCAATAGAAACATCAACCATAATTTTAAGGTATTTTCCTGTTGCTTAAATAATTAAATCTTAATGGCATGTTTTCTTGTGGTTTGTAGCCTTGCACTACTTTATTTATTTCTTTGCAACTGCTGTGTTAACCATCTATTGATTCCCCTACACCCCAATAAAAACTTTCTTGTAGGTCCTTGTGAGAAATGTTCCTCCAGATCCAGATGAATCAGTTAGCGAGCATGTTGAGCATTTCTTTTCCGTAAACCATCGTGAGCATTACCTCACCCATCAGGTTTGGATTTGTAAGAATTTCTCACAGAAAGAAGCTTTATTTCATCATTGTAATTAAACATTGTATTTCATACTATAATCCATATACAGTTGATTAATGTCACTAGTGGAATACTTTAGTTCGTTAACTTTCTCTGCGTTTATAACATATTTTCCAGGTTTAGGACAATAAATTCTTTTTTGCGTAATGTCTTGTTTAAGGTAATGACAAGCGGACCTACATTTCCCACCTTCTCTCTAACCCTTTCCTCGGTAGCCTGATTTTTAAGAAACCTAAACATATGAGGAACCCGTAATAGGTCTATGGCAGCTTAATATGTTTGGTGAAGCAATTCTTTCAAAGTCAGCCAGGTAGAGTTGACGCCTGAATTATATTTGATTAGAGAGCTCAATGTTGGGAAATTACTCGGATTCCCTTAGTGCCAGATTTAAGAAAGAGCGAAAATTAAATGCGCAAAATTGGGGGACACGCAAGATTTATGTGGTTCGGCACAAAATTGCCTACGTCCACGGGCTGCTGCAGATCTTTCACTATGAAGAGAAATTTTACAACACTCTTAATTTTTTCTCACAACTTAATTCCACTCTGAAAATTGCTCATAATTTTCTCTCACAAAGACTTTTCTCTAAGCCTTTCTTTTCTCTCTCTTGTTCTTCTATAAGAGGAGTTGTTTCTGGGATGAGTTTTCCTTAAAAGTTTGGGACCTATTTATAGTGTTTGGGAAAATACTATGCACTAATATTTTATTAGTGGTGGGGCCCGCGGTGGGGCCCACGTACAATTTTTTCTTGCTCTGGGACCCGCTCACCTATCCTCTTCTGATTTTCCGGTGGCATGAGAATTTTGACAAAGCCGAAAGAGCCAAAGGCTCTTTCGGTGGCATGAGAAGTTTGAAAAAAAAACTTTCTTTTGTGTGCTTTCGGTGGTCTGCACACATTCTTTGACTAACAATCTCCCACTTGAAGACTGATTTTAATCTGTCTTCACATCTCGATCTATGCAGCAACTCTTCCCGGTCTTCATACTATTGCAGGCCAACTGAAGTTGAACACAGCTTCAGTTTGTCAATAGTCACCGTCTTTGTCAGCATATCTGCCGAATTTTGAGCTCCACTGATTTTTTCAAGCTTCAAAATTTCATCTTCCAGAAGTGACCGGATAAAATGATACCGCATCTGTATGTGCTTCGTTCTGGAATGGAAAGACGGATTCTTCGCTAGATGAATAGCACTTTGACTGTCGCAGTATAAGACATTGTCTTCTTGTTTCTTGCCTAATTCATCCAAGAAATTTTGAAGCCACACCATTTCCTTGCTGGCTTCTGTAACAGCGACATATTCTGCTTCAGTTGTGGAGAGAGCAACTATCTTCTGCAGTTGAGAAGCCCAACTCACTGCAGTACCTCCTAGAGTATATACATACCCTGTAGTGCTCTTTCTGATATCAACATTTCCTGCTAGATCAGCATCTACATAGCCTGTTAGTATTGTATCTCCACCTTTAAAACAAAGTGCTTTACCTGTGGTGCTCCGTAGATATCTGAGGATCCATTTGACTGCTTCCCAGTGTATCTTGCCTGGATCATTCATATACCTGCTAACAGCTCCCACTGCTTGAGCAATATCCTGTCTTGTACAGACCATGGCATACATCAGACTTCCAATTACTGAGGCGTACGGGACCTTCGCCATGTGTGCACGCTCTTTCTCTGTCTTCGGTGACTGTTCTTTAGAAAGTCTGAAATGAACACCTAAAGGTGTACCCACTGGTTTTGCATCTTGCATGTTGAATCTGGAGAGTACTTTGTTGATGTACTCAGCCTGTGATAACATCAAAATCCCTGACTTCGTGTCTCTCTTGATCCTCATTCCAAGAATCTGCTTTGCAGCACCAAGATCTTTCATCGCGAACTGTTTTGACAATTTCTGCTTCAAATTTATAATCTCTTGCAGATCTGATCCTGCAACGAGCATGTCATCAACGTATAACAATAAAATAATGAAGCTATTGTCAAACCTCTTGATATAGCAACAATGATCTGCTTGGCATCTAGTGAAACCGTTGCTGCCCATGAAGTTTTCAAACTTCTTGTACCACTGCCTGGGAGCTTGTTTCAATCTATACAAGCTCTTCTTCAAACGACATACTAGATTTTCCTTGCCTGCCTTTATGAAGCCTTCTGGTTGCTTCATATAAATCTCCTCCTCCAAATCACCATGAAGGAAAGCTGTTTTTACATCTAACTGCTTAAGATGTAAATTCTCAGCAGCTATAATTTTTAACACTAATCTGATTGTAGTTAGTTTCACAACCGGAGAAAAAATTTTATTGTAGTCGATACCTTCCTTTTGCTGAAAGCCTTTGACAACCAACCTTGCCTTGTAGCGTTTGTTCCCATCATGTTCTTCTTTGATCCTGTAAATCCATTTGTTATGAAGAGCTTTCTTACCTTGTGGTAATTCAGCTAAGTCCCATGTCTGATTTGACATGAGCGAGTCCATCTCATCTTGCATAGCAGACTCCCACTTGTCTGAATCATTCACCTGTATTGCTTCGTCATAACACTCCGGTTCACCACTGTCAGTCAGCAACAGGTAGTGCAAAGAAGGCGAATAATGCTGGGTTGGCTTAGGAATTCTGGAGGAGCGTCTCACTTCTGGCGTGCTTGGTTCTTCTTGAACTGCTTCAGGGCTAGTCTGAACATCTTTTTCAGAAATCTCCTCAAATTCAGCAAATTCCTTTGTTTCAGCTTTTGTACTGGAGCTACTTGATTCTGCAGTTGATCTGTCTTTGTACATCACATTCTCATTGAATATGACATCTCTGTTTCTGATGATCTTCCGATTTTCATAATCCCAAAATCGGTAACCAAACTCATCACCACCATAACCAACAAAAACACATTTGTTAGATTTGGCATCAAGTTTACTTCTTTCAGCAGAATCTATGTGTACATAAGAGATACAACCAAAAATTCTTAAATGTGAAAGGTTTACCTCTTTTCTGCTCCAAGCTTCTTCCGGTATTCCACCATCCAAGGGAACTGAGGGTCCGCGGTTGATTAGATAGGCTGCGGTATTGATAGCTTCAGCCCATAGGAACTTGGGCAGTCCGGCATGTATCCTCATGCTTCTGGCACGTTCATTCAAAGTTCTGTTCATGCGCTCCGCTACGCCATTCTGCTGCGGTGTCATGGGAACTGTTTTCTCCATCTTGATCCCGCTGTTTGCGCAAAACTCTTTGAATCTACTGTCTTTGTACTCTCCTCCATTGTCTGACCTCAACTTCTTTATCTTCAAACCAGTTTCATTTTTCACCATGGCCTTCCATTTTCTGAAGGTATCAAAGACTTCTGATTTCTTCTTCAGAAAATAAACCCACACATTCCTTGTAGAATCATCAATGAAGGTGACATAGTACAGTAAGCCTGCAAGAGATGAAACTGGAGATGGTCCCCATACGTCGGTATGAATCAATTCTAACCTTTCTGTCTTGGGTGTCTTGCCAATCTTTGCAAAACTGACTTTCTTCTGTTTGCCAAAGATACAATCCTCGCATAGGCCGACAACTACATGCTTTAGATCCGGTAGCTTCCCTTTTGACAGAAGTGTCTTCATCCCTTTCTCGCTCATATGGCCAAGCCTTTGGCCTTTTGACAGAAGTGTCTTCATCCCTTTCTCGCTCATATGGCCAAGCCTTTGGTGTCATAGGTTTGATTTTTCATCTGCATCTGTTACTGCAATGATATTCTCTAAGTTAGAGGTTATATAGAGAGTACCATTTTTCTTACCTCGAGCAATGACGAGTGCTCCTTTGGTAATCTTCCATTCATGACCCGAGAAGATTGTACAATAACCCTCTCCATCAAGCTGTCCCACAGAGATCAAATTCCTTCTAAGACCAGGAATATGTCTTACTCCTTGCAGCCTCCATGTGGTCTGATTTAGCAATTTTAATCGAATGTCTCCCTTGCCAACAATCTTCAAGGTTTCATCATCTGCTAGATGTACCTTTCCGAAATCACCGCTGACGTAGTTCTCCATGATTTCTCGGCATGGGGTGGAATGAAAAGATGCCCCTGAATCAAGAATCCATGATTCAATCGGACTGTTGACGCTTAGAATCATAGCATCACCTCCTTCCTCAGTCACGTTGGCAGACTCCTGTGCGCCGGTGTTTTTCTTCGGTGCCCGACACTCCCTCTTGAAATGACCCTTCTTGCCACAATTGTAGCACTTGAAGTCTTTCTTTCCTGATCTAGATTTGCTCCTTCTAGATTTTGATCTGCCGTGATTTGAACTTCTTTCTGAAGTTCTTCCCCTAGACTCCGTGTGTAAAGCTGAGGAGGTTGAAGCTTCACTCGATTCTCTCCGTCAGATCTCTTCACTAAGAACCAGATCACGAACATCATCGAACTTCAACTTGTTGCTTCCCGATGAGCTACTCACAGCCGTGACTGTAGCGTTCCAGCTTTTTGGTAGAGAAGAAAGAAGTATCAATGCTCGTACTTCTTCATCAAATTCAATCCCAACTGAACTCAACTGGGTTGTGACTATGTTGAGTTCATTGAGATGTTGAGCTATCGACGCGCCTTCCGTCATTCGCAAATTGAACAACCGCCTTATCAAGTGAACTTTGTTTGAGGCAGAGGGCTTCTCGTATATGCTGCAGAGAGCCGTCATAAGACCCGCCGTGGTATTTTCCTTTGCTATGTTGAAGGCAACGTTGCGGGATAGCGTCAATCGGATAACTCCAAGGGCTTGTCTGTCGAGGAGAGCCCACTCTTCATCCTTCATATCATCTGGCTTCTTTCCCGAGAGAGGTTGATACAGCTTCTTCTGGTACAGATAGTCTTCAATCTGCATCTTCCAAAAGCCGAAGTCCGCACCATCGAACTTCTCAATTTTTACCTTCCCTTCGTCTGCAGCCATCGCTCCCACTCGAATCTGACTTCCTCTGGATTGTTTCTGACAATTTCTGCGAACCACCTTGTATTAAGATACCTCTGCCGACAAGTCAGTACCGCCGGCAAAATTCTACTATTCACAAAATTTACTATTCACATGAATAGTAACATTGCAGAAATTTGACAGACGTCACAACCAGAGCTCTGATACCAGTTGTTGGGAAATTACTCGGATTCCCTTAGTGCCAGATTTAAGAAAGAGCGAAAATTAAATGCGCAAAATTGGGGGACACGCAAGATTTATGTGGTTCGGCACAAAATTGCCTACGTCCACGGGCTGCTGCAGATCTTTCACTATGAAGAGAAATTTTACAACACTCTTAATTTTTTCTCACAACTTAATTCCACTCTGAAAATTGCTCATAATTTTCTCTCACAAAGACTTTTCTCTAAGCCTTTCTTTTCTCTCTCTTGTTCTTCTATAAGAGGAGTTGTTTCTGGGATGAGTTTTCCTTAAAAGTTTGGGACCTATTTATAGTGTTTGGGAAAATACTATGCACTAATATTTTATTAGTGGTGGGGCCCGCGGTGGGGCCCACGTACAATTTTTTCTTGCTCTGGGACCCGCTCACCTATCCTCTTCTGATTTTCCGGTGGCATGAGAATTTTGACAAAGCCGAAAGAGCCAAAGGCTCTTTTGGTGGCATGAGAAGTTTGAAAAAAAAACTTTCTTTTGTGTGCTCTCGGTGGTCTGCACACATTCTTTGACTAACACTCAACGGGGTCTTTTATAGTTGATCCCCTGTGATTCCTCATCTTGTTTTAACCCTTTTCTAGATAGATGGCTTTTAAAGGAACCTACATGTACAATAGATTCATTATAGGTCTCTGAGATTTTTAATGCGTTTTGATGACAAAGTTCTACGAATTACTGAAACTCCATCTTGTGTACCTTGTTCGTCATTTTTGTTCACTGACAATGATTAAATATCCTATTCTAAGCTCTTTTTTCAGTTGTTTGTTATAATAGTTGTTTTAAATAAAATACCTGACGGTTTCATGTCTGTGCACATTTTGCAATCATAGTTCATTTAGCGCATGCATTTTGAACAATAGGGGTTTGCAGAAATATACCGAAAGCTTTATAGGTTTATCATATTGAGGACACTGGAGTTTGGATAATCATGGTGTGAGAAAACAAAGAGACCAAAAATACGTGTTGGTTGCGTCTCTGCTAAATTCATACATTTTGCATAAAATTGTTAACAGCACTGTTTGTGTTGATTCGTGCAATTTGTGGTATCATGTTGTTTTCTACATCTTGGGATGAATTGGTGAATAAGGATACATTATGTGCAGTTTCTATGCCAAATATGGTTTTATACTCTTTCAAATATCCATTATTTCAGCATTTATTATAAGAACCCTGAGATATCCACATATTATTTGACTGTAGATTGTGTATAATGCAAATGCACTTACGAAACTGGTCGAGAAAAGGAAAGGTTTACAGAACTGGCTTGTCTACTATGAAAACAAATTTACTAGAAATCCTACAAAGAGGCCAACCACTAAGGTGATTCTGAGCTTATGAAAGTTACTTTTATTTGCACTCTTTTGCAGTTTCTTTGTTACTTAATTCTTAGTGAGTTCAAAAGACTCTGGTGCACTAACCTATCTATAAAATTACTGTATCATAGACAGGACTTTTTGGAATCTTTGGAAAGAGAGTGGACGCAATTGACTATTACAATGCTGAGATTGAGAAGCTAAGGAATGAAGTAAGTTCATTGTATATTTATTATTGGGAATTTGAAGATCTTGGAGATAATTATTAACTATATATTCTATATTATTCCAGCATCAGTAGGCCAAAATTTTCTTATGTCACTATAACCTTTTGCTGTTGTGTCTTACTTTGATCCTTTCATACTACATTCTTATCTGGATCTCTTAAAACACCTAATAATGTATTATGTATCTTTCTGATGGTTAGTGTTGATGTCTTGGGACTCAGCAGCGAGATCAGAGGATAATCCCGAGTTAGTAATCGGGCTTAAAGTGAATATGGACGATATGGGTCCCCTCATTTCCTCATACGACTAATCCCTGTTGAGAATAAGAAAGCTGCAACATATGCATGCTAGAAGACCGGAGTTGGGTTCTCCGCCGATTCCTCCGTTAATCAAGTTAGTATAGAGCTTGAGTGGGGAATCAATGAACTAAATAAGTTCTGAATGTGTCAAGATAGTTAGCCAGAATTGGCGTACCTGTGGCCCTGTGGAGGGTTCTCTGTGGATCCCTTCACAATAAGCGATGAGCCCATATATATACCCACCTGAGAGGGGTAGTAGCATAACTCTGACGGAATCCAGGCAGACAACTGAATCGGCAGATAACTCATAGGTGCCAACTGCAGATGTGATGAGTCACCATTGTTAATAATGGATAGTTGTTGGCGAGGAGTTTAAGGACAAACCGCCCCTCGACTCGGCTCTTTGAGCTGGATGACAAGTACCGTCTTTTTTGTCGGTCTCACAAGTTGTCGACCCAGCTTCGAGTGAATGGGGGGCCGATACAAGTGATGAGGTTGAGTGAGAGCTTGTCTCGACTTGGCCCTACTGGGAAGGGATGAGTACCTGTGCTACCCGAATCACCCCCGGCAGGTGTAAGCCGAGCTGATAATTAGCTTCGAGTGAATGGGGGGTCGATACAAGTGATGAGGTCGAGCGAGAGCTCGTCTCGACTTAGCCCTATTGGGAAGGGATGAGTACCCGTGCTACCCGAATCGCCCCCGGCGGGTATAAGCCGAGCTGATAATTAATATGAGACACGTATCGACTCCAAGAGGAGGATTAACACTTAGGTTAAATGATGACATAACAATTAGCATATTCTAACAAGGGTACGCTGAGATACTCTTCCTCATTTGTCCTCCAGCAATTTCAAAAAGCAAATAATACCTGTTGGAAGCAAGTTTTTAATCTACGTACTTATGCAGATTTTTTTTCGAACCATCCATTTTATCCCGCTCCAGATATCAAAGAAATACATCCTAATATATAAAGAATTCAATTTTTTTGGATTTACTTCTGTCAAGGTTTATGCAGGAAGCTACTGAAAAGGAAAAGATAACCACAGACCCTAAGGCAATAGTTCCAGCGGCATTCGTCTCATTCAAAAGCCGATGGGGTGCAGCTGTTTGTGCTCAAACTCAGCAATCAAATAATCCAACTCTGTGGTTAACTGAATGGGCTCCTGAACCTCGTGATGTTTATTGGCAAAATCTTGCTATCCCATTTGTGGATATTACTGTTCGGAGGTTGCTTATGGCTGTTGCAGTTTTCTTTCTGACCTTTTTCTTCATGATTCCGATTGCTTTTGTTCAGTCTCTTGCTAATCTTGAGGGTATACAGAAGGTTGCACCATTCTTAAAACCTATAATACAAATGTGAGTTTAATCTTCCTTTTACATATTTTTCCCAGTTTATGGTTGGTTTTATATAATCAGCTTTTCATTTCTTGCTTGAATAAAATGTCAGTTTTATTTATTCAATATTTGTTCTTGCTCAAATAAAATTCTTCACAGAACTTTAATTTCATTATGTGGTCAGTGCTCACATTCATAATAATTACTTTATATAGGACCTTGTAAATTAGATACAGGGCTCAAATATTGCACTAAATAAAATGGAATTCTTAACATAAATATTTTCATACTACATTTCTAGTATGGAATTCAGATACTATTCAAATAACCTAGCTGTTATTAGAACATGATCAAATTATACTAGACTTAAGATCTTATTCATTTATCTTACTTGTTGTTAGGGAGTGTTATGTGGGCTTGCTTTGGTGAAGATGATCCAATAATTGTAAGCAAATCGGGACTAGATAGAGCAGGGTCACAGCTAATATTAGTTCAGAAATATTAAATTGGACACATATTTTTATGTAGAAAATCCCCTAAATAAATTGGAGTAAAAACCACGGGCAACAGTAGAAGAGTTCACTATGAAGAAAATTTTAGAAGTTACAATATCTCTCTATATAAGGATAAACTCTCTCTATTTTTCTCTCACTTTTTATTTGAATTTGGAGATTGGAAAGATCTAAGTGAGGATGAACTCTGAAGCCTGCTCCTTTTATAGGCAAACTCAATTCCAAATTATCAACAAATGTGGCTCCGCAATTTCTTCGTTTTCGGTGCCTAACTCTGATATATCAAGGAATGCGGCTCCTTCCTATCAAAAACAATGTGAGCGTGGACCGCAATCCTTTTGGTCAAAAATTGCAGCTCCATCTAGCTCCATCCAACAATAATTTCAGTCATTAAGGTGAAAAATCCATGTTTATATTTAGTGGTGCAGAGGCAGTTCAGTGACCTGTTGCAATGTAAATGCAATGTGGTCAGCGGTGATTGTCACAATGTGATAGGAGAAAGGATAGCACGCCAACCTCATAATTTTATCTATTGAAATTGAGTGCAGATAGGAATTTAGAGTAATTGTAAAATCTTCTCGTGTCGAAAAAGAATTATTATTAGTGTACCATTCATGTGACACTAAACCGTTTACAGTGGTAGTGGATAGTAACCAGTAGCCTTTATTGCTATTTCTGTTATGGAAAAACCGACTTGAGTCTTCATTTGTTGAGAAGTAGGAAAAGGTTTAAGCTGGCGAGTAGTTGACCAACAATTATTGTACTACATTTTCAACAGTCTGCATGCATAGATTTTGAAAGATGACATATGTGAGGAGGAGGCAGTTAATGTTTAAGATGGAAGTTGACTCAGTGTTTAATTTTGGTGCTTCAAACCATGCTAATGGCCCCTGTATCCTAAAACTTAAGTTTATGAGTGGTGGACCTATAATTATCCTGCAAGATTTTTAAAATGTCTGCCCCAAAAGGTTTAATATTCTGCAGGATTTTTAAAATATCTGCCCCAAAAGGTTTAATATTCTGAAATTGATCTCTAAATCTAGCTGTTGTCAATTTGTTCCCAAATTAGATCCATGATCTAATCTCCTCTTAACTGTTCTCAGATTGAATGAGAACAAAACTTCTTGTTCTCAGATTGAATGAGAATAAAACTTCTCTTCTTAGGAAGTTGGTGAATCCCACCCCACAAGCGAGTTAGAGAAGACGTTCGCTCCCAAATCTTACAAGAACTAATGCTGAAACCAGATCAAGAAGTGAGTGCTACATATATAACTAACGCAAGAGTAGAATGAAAAAGTTTTTATTCCTAAAAGACAGATAAGGAAAAAGAAGAAGGATAAGAGAGAAAGAGGCCTCTTACTGCTCTAGAAAAGCTCAACTAACGCAATTTGATGTTGCTAGATTTATATTTTTTTGAGAAAATTTTTGTGGATGGAGAGGAAATTGATTGCTGAAATTGGAGAAGACAGCTTCCATATGCTCAAATTGATATCTATAATTGTGCAGAATTTTAAGCCAATGAAAAAACGAAAATATAGACACAAGACATTTTTGGGAGAGCAGGTATATGGTCCTACTGATTCTTCTTATTGCCCTTTTCCGTGATACTAGAAGATGAGAATTGCAAGGTTTCTTTCATGCTACAATCTCTGCTCAATTGAACTCCTACTTGGGGAGAATTGCATTTTACTACAAGTGCGAAACCTCAGCGACTTTCACCAGAAAGTCCCAATACTAGCCTGATTTGGCCAGGATTGTAAAAATAAGCAGCAGCAGACCAGCTGGTCAACCTTGTTCAGGTTGAATGCAAGCGAATCTTTTCATGTTCATTACTGTTCCTTTCTAGTTACTTGGTTAGCCTGAAATGCTTTTGCGTGTGGTGTTAAACTATTTTTTGTCATGTAAAATGCTAACTTTTAGGAAATTCTTCGCAGGCCTGTCATTAAGTCGTTCATTCAAGGTTTTCTGCCAGGGATCGCATTGAAAATCTTTCTTATCCTTCTTCCATCCATACTCATGACTATGTCCAAGATAGAGGGCTACACATCGCTGTCAGCATTGGACAGAAGATCAGCAGCGAAGTACTACCTTTTCATCTTTGTTAATGTGTTTCTTGGGAGCATAATCACTGGAACAGCATTTCAGCAACTCCGTAAATTTATCAATCAATCTGCTAACGAGTATGTCTTCTCTTGTATTTAGTTTGCTGCACACAGAACTTTCTAGCACTAAGATGTTTAACACGGCTTATCACTTTTTTTCTCTTTCAAGAGTGGGATTGCTATGTATATAGACCAGGTTCTAGAAAGATTCCTCTAAGCAGTGACGAAGACATGTTTTTTCTCTCGATTTGGGCATAATAGAATGAATGTTACAACACCCATATATTGATGGTCTATATCACACAGGTAAACTAATATGAACTGAGTTGATTAGGGACTGCTAACTTTTCCGAATATCTGGTTTTGAGTTGAACTGTTCTTCCCTGCACGGGTAGCAACTCGTAAAAGGGCAGGGCCTATTTCTCCCGTTGTTCCTCCGACGATCAAGTTAGCAAGGTGCTCAATTGGGAAAAACGAACTGTCACAGTTCTAAAGTGCTATGAAATGGAGAAAAGAAGCAGAAAAATTGCTTACATTCGCATTGCGAATAATTTTCCCTTTTATAGTCATGTAGGAGGGGCGTTTTGGTCTCTTTCGGCCGAGTCTGAGCTGGCGGCTAAGTCAGCGTCGACTTTACAGGTGTCAGCTATGGAGTGGTCAAGGAATGGGCGCGGTCATTTCGTCATTAATGAGATGGGATAGACGGCGTACGAAGCCGGTGTGGTTCGATGTACCACAAATAGTGCCGGGGATGGAGAAATATGACGCCTGTCAAATATTTAATGTGATGTTGATGCGCTGTCAGCGGGGAGTTCGAGGTTGAAGTTGTTTTTTGGCTTGTATCGAGGGGTGTCGAGAAGTACCGCCTTTCGAGTCGGTTCCCGTTGCCGGCTAATTAACTAGCTGAGTAGGCTTGTGGCGGGTCGTCTTTGACGAGAGTATTGACAAGTACCGTCGTTTGAGTCGACCCAACGAGATGTCGACTCGGTGAGTCAGCTAGATCGGGACCCTGGCAGTCCCATGGGTCGAGTTGACCGAATTAGGCGTAATGGGGGAGATTTTTCCTGTTGTTGACAAGGGATCATAATTTGACGACTGAAAGCACCATAACACCATATAACATATGCACATAACTTTTCTTTATATCTCTTAATGTTGTGATGCATTTTAAACTTGTGATGCATTTTAAACTTCAAAAGTTGCATAACAATAATATAAATATATGGACCATGGTCCTTTCCATATAAATAAAAATAAATGTTCTAACGATAGTAACATTAACTATAAAGATTTAAATATGTACATCTTTCACCCGGAATTAAATTATAGGCAACCAAAATTACTTACATCACTTACAAAATGTCATAGCTAGTTAATTTAGAACAGGAAACAATATTAAGTATAAAAATTGACTTAGTTTTTCTAGTCCCTTTTTTTTTACTAAAGGAGATAAAGTGCAAATTTGTAAGTATAAGTCTACACACCTTCATAATCAAAAGGACAAAAGAGCCCCATCATTGAAGAAATTTTGATCTAAATTTTCTAATCCTTGTGCTTGTTATCTTATGATCCATGGTTCTAAATATATCTCTTCCCATATTCTTTTAATTCATTTTTCATCCAATTTATGTAACTTTTCAGCCTATCCGAAAGGATCTATGATCAGGAGCAAGTATAAAAAATTGTTGCAGTTACAATGAATCTTGACCTGAAGTGTAAACTTTAACTGGAATTTGCACTGAACTTTTTTCATTTTTAACCAAGAAATTATTCTATCAAGATATTACCTAACCATAAAAATATGCTAAAAGGAAATAATAAAATTGGTAGATCCTTAAACTAAATATTACTTCTAAGTTTCTATCTTATCTCAGGGGAAGGGTGGGAGTTAATCATGTTCAGCTGCTAATGTGAATTCAGTGTGGGCCTTGAATTATCAACTTCCTTTAATCTTGGTCAGACCTTGTGTTGAAAAGATAATATAATTAAAGAATATTAGAGGGGTTTTATGTAAATATGGGTGTAAGGCTATATAAGCCAATCTATTCTATCAGTGAGATGTAATCTTAAAACCCTAATCTTTCAATCGCTCTCCGCCATCGTCGCCGGAGAACTCTAGAAGTACCACGCTTTCCGCCGCCCAACTTTGGCTCCAGTTTCGGTTACCTTCACCGCGCGCATCCTCGGATCTCAAACGATAGCGTCCTCCGTCGTCTTCACCGTCGGAGGAGTTAGTGGCGTCGGCGTCGATGAAGGAGACGCGAACGTAGAGGACCCGATTGTGGGGAAGGGAGGCGAGTGGTGGCTTTCGAAGAGATGTCGTCGCCATTAGGGTTCCACTGTTTTGGGGAGTTTTTTGTGATTCGGGGATTTGTCGGGGGAAAAGAGAAGAAGGGAAAAAAAGGAAATAAAGGGGATCTGTAATCTTTTTTTTGGGAGTTGGTATTTATTGATTTATAGGGAAGAAAAGATGGTCAGGATGTGCTGATTAGATCCAAGAAAAGGAAAAGAAAAAAAAAAGAAAATAAAGGGGATCTGTAATCTGTATTAGATGACTCTTTTTTACTTTCTCGAATTATAATAGCTTGTTTAGGTTCCCTCGACAGGTCAGTCCTCAAACTGATGAGAGGAAACGCTGATATCTCATATTGTTGAGATATCTTGCTTTTTGGTTCTTGTTTCCTTAGTGAAACAGGAATTCTTATTGATTTAACTCTCTTGTTGTGCTGTCAAAGTGTTCCCGGATTTTTCGTTGCGCACCACAAGAATACAAGTTGGATCGATGACGGAGACGGGTAAAAATCCGATGGAGGAGATCATCAAGAAGTTAAATCCTGATGAGATCTCAACACTGATGCAACTGATGAAGTTGTCGAAGGGAGAAGGCTCGACAAAGCCACCACCCAAGAAGGTGGAGCTTCCACCTATCAATGTAAAGCTCGATGGACCCACGACATATCTGAGTTGGTCGTGACGGGTGAAATATACCCTTACCGGGAGGAGCCTGGAGGGATATCTAACAGGAGAGAAGACTGAGCCGGTTGAGGGCTCTGCAGAAAGAGATGAGTAGAAGTCCACTCATATGTTGGTGTACATCTGGCTTTTAAATTCTGTAGTCCAGCCAATTGCTGTCACAGTGAATGACCTTGGGAGAGTGCAAGATGTCTGGGAGAAGCTAAGGAGGACCTACGATGGAGTGGAGAATAACCTTAGGGTATTCCAGATCGAGAAGGAGATCAGCGCTATAGTCCAGGGAGAGAGGACTATACAGGAGTACGTCACAGAGCTGGAGCGCTTGTGGCTCGATCACGATCACTTCTCGCCCCTAACGAGTTGCAAGGACCCGGAGTGCAAGGAGCGCGGGGCCTCTTTGCAGAAGAGGACCATGATGTTTCTCTGTGGTTTGGCTCCAGCGTATGAGCAGAGGATAGCATTGCTACTAACCCAGAGGAAGATCCCACCATTGGAGGAGGTAGTCTCGACCATGATACAGGAGGAGAGCCGTATCAGGCTACAGGCTGGAACAGGTGGACTTACAGGGGAGAAGTCTGCACTGGTGGTATCCAATCCGGATAACACTATATTCAGAGGGGAGACTAGACAGTGGTTTAACTGCGGAGAGGTAGGGCATCTGAGACAGATATGCCCTAATCCACCCAGGGAGAGGAACTGGGGTGAACGTGGTCAGGCTGGAGGCCGTGGCCGTGGCTATGGAGGCAGGCGAGGTAGAAGAGGAGGTCACCGGGTAAACTTGACAGTGGCAGAAAAGAAAGAAGAAGCTGAGATGATATTCACTGATGAGGATCGGGCTCTCTTGGCAGCACTGAGGAGGAAGCAAAGAGCAGTAGGTGATGTGTCTGAGGGGTCATCCACTACTCTCTCTAGAGGAGACTATGCTAATTATGCCCTTCGTGCACACCCAAACGAGAGAAGACCTACCGCCTGGATAATGGATTCTGGAGCATACAGACATGTGACAGGCAATGCCAATGAGTTTTTATCCTACACGCACTTAGCAGAAGCAGTGAGCATCCAGATCGCTGATGGTACAACACAGGATGTGGTTGGTAAGGGCACTGTTAGTTGTACAGGTTCTATAACTTTATCTAATGTTCTGTATGCTCTTTCATTTCCTGTTAGCCTGTTATCCATTAGTGTCATTATCCTCCAACTAAATTGTATTATTTCTTTTGACATTTCCAAGGTGATCTTTCAGGAGAAAGGAACAGGGCGAAGACTTGGGACTGGAACATGACGTAGCGGACTGTGGTACTTGGACCGTGAAGAGATGGACTCAGCGCTGACATCCGTGGTGGAGAGGACGGGAACAAGAGGAGCTAAAGTCTGTGCAGAAGATGAGTTGATGCTTTACCATAAACGAATGAGACATCCATCATTTGGCATTTTAGGTAAAATGTATCCAACTCTGTTTGGAAAAGTAAATAAACAGAAGTTGCAGTATGATGCTTGTGAGTTTGGGAAACTGACTAGAAGCTCTTATGTTAGTTCGGGTAGTAGGAGTTCTTGTAAGTTTGAAGTAATACACTCTGATGTATGGGGACTCTGCCCGGTAAATTCTATAAATGGATGCAAGTTTTTTGTAACATTTATTGATTACTTCTCTAGAGTCACTTGGGTGTATCTTATGAAAAACAAAAATGATATAGTTGGCTGTTTCAAAGATTTTTATAAGCACATCCAGACTCAGTATTGTGCAGCAGTAAAGGTGTTGAGGTCGGATAATGAGACAGAGTATACCAACAGAACACTTAGGGAGTATTTGTCAGTTCAGGGGATTCTACACCAAACTACATGCCCATACACCCCAGCTCAGAATGGGGTAGCAGAGAGGAAGAACAGACATCTCCTAGAAGTTGCTAGGAGTATAATGATGGCGATGAATGTCCCAAAGGTGTTGTGGGGACAAGCAGTCTTGACTGCTACTCACTTAATCAACTGGATGCCCTCAAGTGTGTTGGAGTAGAAGTCTCCCCGTGAGACACTGAAGGGAGATAACGGGGGGTCCTATCATTGAAGGTATTTGGCTGTTTGTGTTTTATGAAGGATGACAGACCATCAGTTGGGAAGCTAGACCCTAGGGCTGTGAAGTGTATATTCGTGGGATACAATGACACCCAGAAATGGTATGTCTGCTGGAACCCGGTGGAAAAAAAACTGTTAGTCAGCATGGATGTGCAGTTTCGGGAGCTCGAGCCGTATTACACAGTGGGGGTTACTTCACCTTTTGGCGACTTGCCCGATACTGGAGGTATGAGGCAAGAGGGGGAGAATAGTGAGAGCTCAAAGGGGTCAATCCCAATTTCGATCCCGTACTCAGAAGAGGAGGATGAAGACGAAGGGGAGGAGGAGGAGACAAGGGGTGTTAGGCCTACAGCTCAAGGGGAGTTGCTTACATACAGTAGGAGGGGGAAGGAGCCAGAGGTGCCTATAATAACAGTGCCAGTGCCTAGTCCCTCGTCCAGTTTTGCTCTAACTCCTGAGACACCTACACCACCCTCCAATCTAGGTATATCATTCCTACTCCTGCCCCTCTCCCTGCACCAATGTCAGAAAGGAGGACCACTCGCAGTAATACGGAAAATCCCCCTAAGAGATATGGTTAGGATCTAGCTCAATTTGTTTCCTATTCTCATATATCCCCTTCACACGGAGCATTCATTGCATCATTAGATTCTGTTATTATACCTAATAACTAGCAGGATGCTAAGAAGGACCCAAAGTGAAAGGCTGTTATGCGTGAGGAGCTGAGTGTTCTTGAGAAGAACCACACGTGGGAGTTAGCGACACTGCCAGCAGGGAAAAGAACAGTGGGATGTAAGTGGGTGTTTACTGTGAAGTAGAACCTAGAAGGGAAGTTGAACGATATAAGGCACGACTAGTGGCAAAAGGATACAGCCAGACATACGACATTGACTACGATGAGACTTTTGCACCAGTGGCGAAGATGAGTACTGTTCGGACGCTGATTTCTCTGGCAACAAATGGTGGATGGGAACTACACCAACTAGATGTGAAGAATGTGTTTCTTCATGGAGATCTAGTGGAAGAGGTGTATATGAAGATATCACCTGGATGTGACACAGGACAGACTGTGGGTAAGGTCTGCAGACTGAAGATTGAAGAAGTCTCTGTATGGGCTGAAGCAGTCCCCTCGAGTATGGTTTGACAGGTTCAGGAGAGTCATGGTTAGTATGGGATACAAACAGATCAATGCCGACCATACTGTATTCTTCAGAAGAAGTGGGGGTCACATCACTATGCTGACAGTGTATGTGGATGACATGATCATCACAGGGAATGATGAGAAGGAGATTGCTCAGCTCAAGGTAAGATTGAGCAAAGAATTCAAAGTGAAGGATCTGGGTCAGCTTCGATACTTTCTTGAGATAGAGATATCTCATGGACCTAAGGGGATTGTTCTCTCCCAGAGGAAGTATGCACTGGATCTTCTTACAGAGACGAGGATGTTGGGGTACAAACCTGCTGCTACACCGATTGATCAGAGCTTCAGGCTGAGTGCTGAGGCAGGAGAACCTGTTGATCGTGAGAGATATCAGAGATTGGTGGGCAGGCTGATCTACCTGAGTCAGACACGTTCAGATATCTCATTTACGGTAAGCGTAGTGAGCCGCTACATGCATGACCCAAGGAAGAGTCATATGGATGCAGTATATTAGATACTGAGGTATCTGAAGAGTGCTCCTGGCAAATGACTAAGATTCAGAAGTGACCATGTGAACATTGAGGGCTACTGTGACTCAGATTGGGCTAGCTACGGAGATAATCGGAGGTCTACCTCAGGGTATTGCATATTTGTAGGAGGCAACTTAGTCTCCTGGAAAAGTAAAAAGCAATCTGTGGTTGCAAGATCAACAGCTGAAGCAGAGTACAGAGCCATGGCCTTGGGGGTTGCGGAGTTGATGTGGCTGAAGAACATGCTGGTGGAGCTGAACCTTGACCAAGGGGCCAAGATGAGTTTGTGGTGCGACAACAAGTCAGCTATCAGTATCGTCAACAACCCAGTTCAGCATGACAGAACTAAGCACATTGAAATTGATAGATTTTTCATCAAGGAGAAGCTGAACAGTTGGTTATTGGAGTTAGGTCATGTTCCAACTAATGAGCAGATTGCAGACTGCTTGACTAAAGAGCTTAGCTCAGTAGATCTAGCTAGAGGGTGTGACAAGATGGGCTTAATAGATATCTTTCGCTCATCTTGAAGAGAAGTGTTGAAAATATAATATAATTAAAGAATATTAGAGGGGTTTTATGTAAATGTGGGTGTAAGGCTATATAAGCCAATCTATTCTATCAGTGAGATGTAATCTTAAAACCCTAATCTTTCAATACCTTGTCTTATATAGGTCACTAGAGTATTGAAAGGTTGCTTTTTTTTGTGGGCTAATGGATCCACCCCTTTCCCAAGACATTGAAACTTTAAATATTAGCTGCTGATAGAGTACTTTACATTCATTTCTGTTCTTAATTTGAACGACATCATCATTCAAACTGTTTCTTACCTAACAGGGTTGGGTTTTGTTGACATATCTAACTGAGAAGGCTTTAAGAAGAACCATTTATTCAGAGGCATTAATCCTCTAAGTTTGTCTCAATTTACTGTTTATGAGTAAGAGATGAGCTTGCCACTGATGCCTTGTAAGCTTGTTGAAGTAAACCACTAATAATCAGTATGCAGCTTACATTCATGAACCAAAAAGAACCTGTGAAATTCTCCAATACAAAGAAAACATAAGATAAATTTCAAAGATGAAACCTAGACGTCAAGTTGTGGTGCTGCTAATGGTGGAAACCGATATGTAAATCTTTCATTGGTCTTTACTGTAAAAGCAGGCCCTTCTAGTTCAGAAATAAATGTTACATAGTTCTAGAGACTTGAATCACCTTCGGACTTATGGAGGTTTGATGAAAGAGGATAATTGCTTCAATTGAATTTATGGGAGCCGGAACATACATTCTGAACAATTGTGTATGGTCAAACCTGTGCTTGCCTTGGTCCAATGTCAGTATGTGTTGCGATCTGAGAATTTTTTCTGGTAACATGGCGATATTGGACAAGAGTTCTCAGGTGTAATTTGCATCCTGAATATGGTTTATATGAAGAAAATGTGTGGACAGTGACGTTGAATGGGGTTCTCAAAGTGAGTTGTTAAAAGCAGCAAATTGCCATCTGAGGAAATATTAGAGGATCAAAATCATGATGGAGCAATTGGTGAAAAATGTTGCTCTTCAAATGAATTCGTATGATTTTGTTTAAAACTTAGATTCATTGAAATAATATTCAGGCTTAAATGGTTTAAAAGTTTGATATTGCAGACACACACATTTCGTTGAGCACTTTAATCTCACATTTAAAGAGGTTGGTTAAGTATAAGCTATGCTGCAGGAATACTTCTGTCTGGAGCTGTACCTATGCTGTACCCGTACCCAACAACTGACCCACCCACCCACACGCACGCACACGCGCACCCTACTCACCCACTCACCCACGCGCGTGCGTGCACAATCACACGCAGGCACACACACACATATTTCCCTCTGTTCTTTCTTGCAACCTGCACAAAGTTGCAAATAAATAGCTCTAGCCTCTAATCAGACTTTGTTACCTTGTTGTTGACTCCTTTTGCAGGATTCCAAAAACAATTGGTGTGTCCATTCCCATGAAAGCCACATTTTTCATCACTTACATAATGGTGGATGGTTGGGCAGGTGTTGCTGCTGAGATTCTTAGGTTAAAGCCCTTGGTTGTTTTCCATTTAAAGAATGCATTTTTAGTTAAAACTGAGAAAGATAGGGAAGAAGCTATGGATCCTGGGAGCTTGGAATTTGCAACATCTGAACCAAGAATACAATTGTATTTCTTGCTTGGCTTTGTTTATTCAGTGGTGACACCTATCCTGCTGCCCTTCATAGTTCTCTTCTTCAGTTTATCTTACGTTGTTTTCCGACACCAGGTTAGTTGCTTATGCAACTTTCATATTGCAAGCTTAAAGTTATGCTTATTTAACTTTCTCAGTATATTTTATTTATCTTTTTGCTATCAATGCCGACTGATCTTAGGTTGTTTTTAGGCTTCTGAATGAGCTTCTCTGTATTTGTTATCATTAATTCTTATACTTGTTATCATAAATTTGCGAAGTTGCACTTTACACTCTTTTATGAAGTACTAATACAGATTTAATTAGAAACTGCTGACTTCTAAGCAACATATTGATCTGAAGTTTTCTGGCTTTGGAATAGGCTGAAAAATAGAGTCCAGTTCAACATACTTCTGGATGTTCTTCATCCCTGATCACTTGATCAGTGAATGGCATGCAAAGTACTTAGTATCTTATCAGGACACTTAAGCTGTTATAGAAGACCATGCTGGAGGCACAGTGTGTGCATGCAAACAAACTAATCGAAATACAAGTTGTAGTTCCCAAAATTGTACAGTCCCCCTGATGCCATATATACGTCCCTTGTTTGATAAGAGGATTACCTTACTTTCTTTTAAAAATTTAAGTTCCTCGATGTGCTTTCTCTCCTGTACGGGATTCTCAATTATACTGAGTGCCTCCCTCCACTTTTGTGCTTTCTCTTCCAGTGCAAAATGTGGTGTATTATTTGGTTTAACTGTAACTGATATTGTCTAGTGTTTCATTAGAAACATATGGGGCAGGCATGGCTTAGCTGGTGCTATTTAGAGCAAAGGATTTTCGTAGGTATTAATAGTCAATAGCTCATTGGAGGAATCAAACCGATGTTGAATGTATTGCAGAGCGAGGTAAAAAGGCTTACCTTGCTGGCTCTCTTAAAGTCTCTGCCGTTGTATGAAAACTCTGAAGTTATAGTCGGAGTTAAGGGTTATAATTTTATAATTTAAGATGCCCTTACAAATTGAGTACCCTTTTTATGGGACGAAACCAGTACTTTACGAAGCTGTATCATTTTTTTTTAAAATCTGGTTTAAATTCATTGCTGGTGGGATTTGAACCTAACTTGCTCTGATACCATTTAAGATAGAGAAGTGAAAGCCACCAAATTATTTCAATAGAGTTTAGGGGAGGGTATACAATCAATAAGATGTATACCCACACATATAACTCAATACATCTAACAAAGACCATTTATTTTGTTTGGATCATTGGTCATTTATTATCTACACACTTCTGTGTCCTAGCCATGTTCATCTTAATGTGCCGAAGACCGACACTTTTTGCACTGCCCGGGCATGTCTTGTTTATACTTTTAACTTTTCTACACTATTTCGAAACTTCTAGAAGATGTTTTTTATGCTACTTCGATATTCTTTCATACAATTTGTGCATTGAGAATTTGATATGCATAAATCCTTCATAGGTTAAAAAGCTTACTTGATGGAAAAAGGCTTTGACATAGTGAGACATACACATACAATGATGATATGTGTTTATTTCCTATATAAAGTCATAAAAAATATTTATCCTATTATTAGTTTAGAAACATATGTATGTCTGTTGCATTTGTATGTGTTCATGAGTATGTGTTTGTGTAACTGTGTGTGTTTTTACATTTATTATCTTGAGCAAAGCATTTATGTATTGTGACGCCCATAGTTTTACACAAGGCTACAGTCTAATGTGAACCCAAAGATGTCAAACCTGCCATGCACCCAACACTGTGCATAAACATGTTTCAATGTTACATTAAACGCTGAGCGCTTCTAGGCGTCGGACTTAGCGCCCAGCGCTTAGTCGTCTAGGTGGGCGTCTAAGCGGTTTCTGGGCGTTTATTTTCTTTTTTCTTTTTTTAATTGTGATACTTGAAGATATATAAGTTACTGTTAAGTTTAAGTTAACAATAAACTTAAACTTAAGTTTATTGTTAACTAAAATATTGTTAACTTAAGTTTCCTATTTACTTAAACTTAAGTTTACCATCAACAAAAAACTTAATATTAACTTTAACTTAAACTTAAATTTAAGTTTACTGTTAGCTTAAACTTAAGTTTACTGTAAACTTACACTTCTTAAGTTTAAGTTATTGTTATTAACTAACTTAAATAGATATTTAAAAAGTACTCTTTACCTTGTTAGTAGTTACAGAGATCGGGGGAGCTCGACAATGTTACAGAAGGTGCTAGGCAAAATAGATGTTTGAGTGAGCGCCTAGTGCCTAGACCCCTGGGCGTACGCCCAGGCGTTTGACTATTTTTAAATTATTTACTTATAATAATTAATAAAAATATGTATTAAATTCATATAATTTTTTTAAAAAAGATAGCAATCTTAGTTCCACAATAAATCATGCATACTTAGATACTAAATAGTCAAAATAATAATTAACAATGCTAGAGCCTAAGATGTTTTCTTTTTTTATTTTTAATTATAATAATTAATAGTGAATGTCAATGTTATAGAAAGCTTAGATGTCGGACTGGTGTCTAGATGGATTTTTTTCTTCATTTAAGTGGTGGTCGATGAGGTTTTGCTGAAGGTCGGAGGAGGTAGTGGAGGTGTTCATATTTGAAGGTTAATGGAGTTTGGAAGATGTGTAAGCTACAACATATAAAATCACAACCAATGCCTATAGGGTGCAATCCACGTAAGCAGACAATGCTCCCCTAAATGCTCGTAAAATCTAGATGGGTAGCCTAAACATCGTCTAGACGCTAGGCGCTAGTTAGGCGGCCTAGGTACCGCCTAGGCCTAGGCGTACGTCTAAGCGAACTAGGCGAAGTTTTTTAAAACAGTGTGTTTCACCATCATATTAATATAAAACTCTAGCAGATGTCAAAAATAAGAAGTGAGGGTACTAGCAGATATATCAAATGTGACAATACAATGAATATATTATAGAGAAGAGATATCCAATAATAACTATAATTATGTTCCAACAGAAGAAAAGAAAATACATCTGATAAACTGGAATAAGAACATCGAATCTCTAATACATAATAGTCAACTGAAAAGTATAAAGGCACTCCGCCTCTAAAATAAAATACATATCTAAAAAAAACTAAAATCATAAATAGTTCATTGTGGAGCACTAACTAGCTACCTATGAATGATAGTGACTGTGCTGAATTCCCGTCAGCCTACGGCTCTTCGAAACTCTGATCCGTTACCTGAAAAGAGGTGAATACAACAGCATCAGAACGCTAGCAAGAACATCTCCGCCTGCTCTCTTTCTATATATATATATATATATATATATATATATATATATATATATACACACACACACACACACACACATAGAGAGAGAGAGAAATGAGTATGCTTGGTAGTGAAGTGTCATATTCTCATCCATTCATTCCAATTCCCAACCACTCCCTAACCCATGTGAATGTAAGCCCCGATTTTAATGAGTGGAGGGGAATATATCACATCACTACCAAACATAAAAACTTGTACTTGGTACCAAGCATATTCATATTTCTCATATATATATATATATATATGAGAAATATGAGTATGTTTGGTACCAAGCACAAAAAGTTGTGCTTGGTAGTGAGGTGTCACATCTCCCTCTACTCATTCAAATGTGGGATCACATTCACATGAGTAATGAGTGGATGGGGATGTGACACATCACTACCAAGCACAAAATTTGTGCTTAGTATCAAGCATACCCATATTTCTATATATATATATATCATATGTTTTAAATTGTGAATCGCTAAACACTAACTCCCAATATACTATAAATAGATAATAAAACAAAACGTCGCCAAAAAAATATCTCATCTAGAACATAATATGAATGTCAATCATAGTATAATACACTACCTAGGGGTAGGTGTCACGGGAGCAAATACACAATCCTGTGTAATCCTCTTCATCGAAAATAGTGTGGAGTTTAGGTGCTCACAATACAATATCCTGTGACTCATCGTAATACCATGCGGCTCACTACCTAACTCGGACACCAAGCGGAGTATAGGCATATCAGTCTAATCCAAAACATAATGCAAACAAAAGAGATGTAGAGTCTCAATGCTCATAGTATCTTGTGGCTCATCGCAGTACCATGCGGCTCACAATCGAATTCGAACATCTATGTAGAAGTATGATGCGGAGCATAGGTACTCGCAGTATCCCGCGGTTCATCGTAAGCTCGTGCGGCTCACAACCTATCTAGGCCATCTATGCAGACATTTGGCGTTGACTTATGCAACTTGATAGTTGTCGCTTCTACATCGTGACAGTTCGACACATGGCCACGCACTCCCAAGGATCCGTGTGTACCTAAACCCAATACATACACTACCATGGCCACGCACGTATATCGACGTGTGGTCCCGTCCTTCGTGTTCACAACCAAATGTGCGCGGAAGATCATTACTGGCAAACAGCTCTAGATCAATCGAGTGACCTTTGAAACCAGTCGACTTGACAGTGGATCAGTCGATTGATATCTCATCAGTCGATCGATCGGCGAACGCGCACAACGTGCACAAGTAACAAGCTTTGGTCGGTCGACTGATATCTTATCGGTCGATCGTCCCGAGGAAAAACATATAATTCTCAAGGGTCAAATCGGTCGACTGATACATGGGGTCAGTCGACCGACCAGAGTATAGGAACAAGAACTTGGTTTTTAGAAGTTAATCGATTTTCTCAAAAAGAACTCGGAAAACATCATCATCATTGGGTGTGAAAACATGTTTAAATCTCGTATTTAACATAGTGGGGGCTTAGCCAAACAATTATACGTCAACAAAACATTGATTTTTGGGATTTAATCTCCCTAAACATCACTAAACAGATTTTAGTTGTTTAATTAGGGTTCTAAACCTAATCACTTCATCAATTAGCAAATTACTTATAGTTCTAATCATCAAAATTATATCTTTTATTTATTTAGTGTTAGGATCTACAGATCTATTCATCAAATTAGGGTTTAGTTCATCCTAAAACAAAACTATAAGGGGAAAGGGTTTGAGAAGAGATGAACTTGCCTTAGAATTTCGTTTGGATCTCTCAAACGT